TGCGGTCCTTTTCGCTCATCTAAAGGCCGAACATCATGTGGTATTTCTGAACAACGAATGTGTCTACGACAATTTTGCCCTAACTTGAGTGGGAGCACGGGGGATTGAGGGTGCGAGGGTGGGAACAAGCAATACACAAGTGTGATTTTCGTAGTTCTTCGTTCCTACTTGTATCGTGGATTCGTTTAACATTCAGCTTGTCTGAACTGTCAGTCATCTTTTCTTCTATAAACGCACTCAGTTCAGTCTGATTTCACAGGCAGAAATGCGTGTGGAATATTTTTTCTCCTCATCAGTCGTATTTGTTTTGTTTTTGGTTTATTTATAGCATAAGCAAACCTGTGCATTTAATCATCTTATTTTCGCCACAGGTTTTGTTGTTACCCTTCCGTTGTGCGATCGAAGTCATCGGGTACTTTTGGACGAACAGACTCTGGACGTCGGTCCGGTTTCAGTAAGTCATTCAGACTTAATTTGTGTTCACCGGACTATCGTCTAAAGTTATTTTCAGTCAAACACGCGAGCACAAAACACTGCATCAGTTGCAAAGTTTGATACGCAGTCACGCCTCATCAGTCTGGTCGCATTTTCGTTCTGTTTGAGTGGTGTCCAAATGTCAGCCTACCTTTTTCAACAAGTTCAACTTTGAGTTTGAGATTTTCATATTTTTTGTTAGACGGGTTTTCTTTACGTTGGATAGTGTTGATCAACAATCGTCGCCAGTAGTTATTTATTGAAGTAACAAGAGGTTATTATTGTGATTTTTTGTTCGTGTTGCTAAAGTGACTGTACTGCGGGTGAGAGAGCACGTTAATACGAATGAGCGGAATATGACGAATTGAGCGGCACTTTGTCGTTGAACGAAGAAACCTTTCACGAAACAGTAGAGATGCCTTCCAAGCCCCGTGTTCCACGGTCAGATGTCAGTCAGTGTTACTAGGTTATTTAAACGACGAATTTCCAATGGTCAGTAGCTTCTCGAATTCACCTAGGTGGTTGAAACCAACCGCAACTGCCTGCCACTCTTTCTTGTGCTTCCAGCTTCTACAATGTTCACAATGGACTTTCATAGGAATTACTCGCTGAACGAGACCAGTGTCATCCATTTTTACAGATGTCGCAGAGAGAATGTTTTTGCATCAGGCTTAAGATGCGTGAAATCCAGTGTGCTTGTGTCCTTACCTTATTCACAATTGTCCTCTCATTTATCGTGCCACGGCAAAGAGTCGGGAGGTATCTGAAACGCTACAACCATCTCCCACAAGAGGAGTACACATTTGAACGCATTACAGCTGCGCGACGCGTTGGCCTTTCTTGAACGATCGAATAGGAGACAGAAAAGTTCAGCCGTTGTGTCAGATGAAATCAGTACCACGTCATCAAACGGTGGGATAACACTGCTTCAGGCAATCGTTTGTTTTTAATGTTAGCGTTAGCCCTAATTACTTACATGCTACACTTATTTTGTATAAGGTTGTGTCTATTTCTTATACAGGCTTGAGGACAAGCTTGGTGTCAACGCAAAAACAATGATGATATGAATGATAAGATTATGTACAGATAAGCGAAATAAAAATGAGAAGAAGCAGATAACGGAGAACAGAAAGAGCAAGTAAATATGTTTTAAGAAGTCAATTTGGCAAACAAGCTCATTTTCGGTGCCTCATTTACTAACCAGATACAGCACTCTTTTATAGGTCATAAAATCACATAATTCAAGGAAATAGAATAAAATTAAATAATGTCTGTGTTTGTATGCATGTGTATGGATATCATGGATAATACAGTAAGGGGTGTATGAGAGTTCAAATCATTCTGCAAATGTCATTTGTACTGTTGAATGAATCAAATACAGCAGACGATGGGCAGGCAAATGCAAAGCACTACTATCAGCGCCTAACACACGACGAATCTCGTCATTACTCACATGTTCCCACCAGATACGATAAGGCTTTTAAGGCATCGGCGGTCGAAAACAGTTAATCGATTAACATCATCAGCTCAGAGGGCCCAGATCTAGCAGAACACTACGAACCACGGTGGTGCTTACCCTTCCTCTGAGGGACACGCGCAAGTAAGGCGGTGCCACTGATATCGCAGTTTGGAAAGAGCTGCCCTAGCTTTTGCTTTACGTGATGTGATCTCTCGCACACCAATTCTAGCTACGGTCAAGCTCCCGAGGTACTTGACACTTTCGACCATTTCTAACTGATCACCACAGAAGCTTATTGTAGGCACAGGCTTCCCTCAGCTTTGTACAAGCATTTGAACTTGGGCGGTGCAAAGCACGTACCATATCTGGATACCTCTGTCTCCAAGCGATTTAAAACGTACCGGACTGCTTGTCTGTCGTCACCCAGCAAGGCGATTTCATCGGTATATCTTAAGTCAAGAACTCTTCCCTGGGAGGACTTCGACCCCACTGTTTGCTAAACCGTACAAAGCATTCTGTAAAGCATTCTCAGGGGTAAAGTTGAGGAGGAGTGGGGATATAAGGCATCCTTGTCACACTCCACCGAAGACAGCAAAGGGTGATGAAGGCTGGCGATGAGCCCTAACTCGACCTGAGGTAAGACAATACAACTGTTTGAGGATCAGCACATCTCAGGTACTTCATTTGTAAGCAAACAGTTCCATAGTGCGATCCTATCAATGGACTCAAAGGCCGCGCAAATATCTAAGGACAACGATTGTTGGTCTGGGGTAAACATGACGGTGCCCCAGCAATGTAATGTTATGACGGGTTAGTGATGTGTATAACAGGGTCGAGAGTCGTCAAGTGAATAAGAGCGGTAAGGATTAGAATGCCGTACTGTAGCACTCAAAGTTTATGCTAAATTATGCATAAGGTGCCGGAGATGGGTATCAGTTCTGACAAGAAGAATCTGTTGTGCCTCAAAAGGGTTATTTTACTGCTTTCAGTCCTCTTTAGACATTCAGCTCTCTCTAGTTGGTTCATCACAGCAGTGTACATGAGGCAGCCTCTCCGCCCCGAGAAATCTTCAGATTTAAGTCAAGAGTAACTAAGGTCAAGACATCTAAAACTGTGCGGAGGAGATAAGCTTCAGTTTATACAAACATGCACTTACGTATGGCAGTTTTGGTTGCTATCTTTTGTCAGCTCATTATATATATATATACCACCCTTTGATAATTTCCACCCACTATGTATTTCGAAAAACATCGCACGTTGAGGCCATCTATTTAGTGAAATGCGTAACGTATGTCCTAGCCACTGTAATCTAATGAGATCGAGTGTTTGATCCCGCAATCGACCGCGATTGCCTAAAGCTCTGTGCATAACCTCAGCAATACTTTTCCGGTTTCCCCACCAAACGTGTGCAATGCGGTGGTTTTCGCGCTTTTCAAGCACCGTAGCGGTCAACACTCTTCGCCATATAAAAACAGTGATCGATTTGCTGCATTATATACCCGACCCTTCACAGACAGCCGGATATCGCGATAGCGCGATAGGTATATCAAATTGGAAAATACCAATCGAGTTTTCTGTATTGGTGCCGAAACTTCATCTATGATGCGTCTTCGAGATGAGATGTAGCTACCCAAATGGCAAAATTTCTCTGCCTTCTCGATTGTTCCCCCAGTTCGGGTGAGGTTAGGTGTTTAACCAATCCATACCTGTAGCAAAATTTCACAATGAAGGTTCAAAACGCTCGCCGAGAATTATGGCACTGTTACTCACTTCCCTATCTGCCGGCTACTGGGACGCTTTGCACTTATACACTGTCGGTCAGGCCTCTACCCAAAGACCACACAAATCCCTACTGTCTTACCGAAAGGACTTGAATGCAAAAAAGGCTTGAGATGCCCTCCTGATCAAAAGCCAAGTGACACTGCTCCATCGTTGATGCACACTTGATCTGCTGAATGAATGCGGGTATGCGTATTCTGCGAGTTTGTTGTCTAGTCTTAAGATGGACTGGCAGTATTCGTTTCGTTATTTACGTGTTTTATGTTTTTTTCACTGATGCTTTTAGTGAGACGCAAAATTCGCACGTTTGTCTAAGTAATTCATCAACGGTCACTGAGACTATAAATCTGTGATGTAAACAGTGTTGAATTAGCAGGGGTTGAGCTCATATAGAGGTGCAAATTGCAAGGTTTTTTGATCAGATTATTGCACTAGCTTCAATCGGGTGTACTTAAAGATAGTTATCTACCTTTTTAATCTAAGAAATTTTGCCGTGGATAGCTTTCTCCGTTTCCGACTATCACTCATACCCTGTTCATGCTGCGGCCGCCTGTTTCAGGGCGAAACTCGGGACCAAGGAGAAGTGGAAATTCGTTGTAAAATCACGTATCGAGTGATTGATCCCGACTGCTTGTATGTGTCCATAATGAAGAGTCCGCGCAAGTTCCTCACTCCTCTTGCTCAGAACAGCATGATAACCGTCCTCGGTCATCTGCCGTGGTCACACCTTGAGGATGGTGGAGGCAAACTGGATTTTTCTAATGAAGTCGTGGTAAGAAAATGTTTTTTTCCAGTTATCAACGCTCTTTGGTCCGAATTGGTGTTTATTACAACTATATAGATTCCACAATCTTTAGTTATATAATCCGCATTCACAGTGTCATATAGCCCGCAAAGTGGCATTATCCCACTATGTTTTTCTTTTTCTTTTCACTAACAAAACACTAGTGTTGATCAAGTTTGATATGATAGCGACGCAATTCAGTACGCTAAATGAACCCGACTCTGCCAAACTGATTCATCCTAGAAAAATAGTCCCTGGGGATGTGAATGGCTTTTCTCATCACCCTGAAAGCTGTCATGAAATTGCACTCCGTAGTTCGCTCTCCCGTTCAATCAATTCATACTCCACACTGAATGAACGACTATTACCGAGGTCATCCTTTGTGCTAAGTCCACGGGTCTGTCATTTATCTAAACAGACGAATGGCACGTTGTTCAAGATCTGGGCGCTGGCAATCGCAAGCGTGCTTCAATAATTCCCAGATCACCGCGAGTTGTTCGTATCTTATTTCGGACGATGAACAGTCTATTTGGAAATGCGCTTAAGTTTTGTGTTTCCGTCATAAAGATCGGTGTGTTTTGTAACTCATTAGATGGTTTTTTTTCTGGAGCGGAGTTCATAGCATTTTATACACCCCAAGGACAGTCTGTGGAATAAACCAGTTTGATATTCGTTCATTTGTCAAGCTTGCCAATTTTGGGTGGTGAGCAGCTCCACTGTCGTTCGGCTCAATACAGGACTTAACCCAATGATGCCCTGTGTGGTTCACCACTCCAGATTCCGGGGCTTAGATTACCGGTTTGCTTAAGTAAACAATAGGTCCTTGTCTGCTCCACAAGGATGGGGAGTAAAGAATGATCATAAGCTATTCATCACCAATCGAGGTGACATTCACAATGCTTTGAATCGATGAGTGCTGACCTACGTCCATTCCCCTAAATAGGTCGGCTTGTTTTGGAGAGATCAGTTTAGCAGGGTCAGCGCTAAAATCCGTTTGATTTTCCTTCACGGTAATGAAATGCTCCCTCCCCCATCTAGCAGATTTGAGCGTTGTGGTCGACCTGAAAGTGTAAAAAACGGAGTGGGGTTAATAGCATTTCATGCACTATTTATTTCGCTATTGGTTTTTCGTCTTTCCTTAACCCGGATTGATTTATCTGCCTTTCGTTCAAAGTTGTAAGTAACACGTCCGTTTTGTTCGCCCCCATCTATGCGCTTCCCGTTGAGCGCAATGGGCAAGTTAATCCTCTAACCTTGACCTAGATCATCAGCATAGGGTTAGACTTTGCATTGCCACCTCACACAGATGGATTAGACCAACGCTCGGGTCACGTCAGTGGTAGTGGATTGCATTTTGTGAAACCAGCTGTACTTCGGTCGCGTTTGGCTACCAAGATTCCTGTTGTTTGTTGGGTGCGAGCGGAGAGTTGAAATGTAAAATTGATTCCTGGTCAAAATTATAGCAGGGTCATTAAGAACAACCTATACCCAGATTCCTTTGCTGTTACATGTGCACAAGGAAGCACATAGCTCGCGACACAGAATGATCAGGTGAACTTTAAAAAAAACTTTCATGAGATCAAAACGTTCTCACCATTGCGATGTGTCTTGATTCCATCGTCCTCATGGATGTTTAAAATATACTCGCTTGATTTACAAATTAGGGTCACAGCGCACATGTTGCTACCATGGCCCACTTCATCTTTGGTCCATAGGTCTACAATTAGTCGGTCAATTTAAAAATTAACTGGTTGATCAACTTGAAAAAAAAACGTGTAAAAATGAGCGTTTTCAATGTTTAGAAGTGTTCCGGTTTCCGCGTCTTCAGAAACCCTTGTTTGTGGTTCAAGTTTGCCAAGATTTCACCGCAGGATATACAAGTTCATCATAATAAACAGAAGTGATTTCATTTCCGACTCACAATTACTCTTGAGTAGTTTTTGGAGGTACGTGAATTTCATCGTAACTGACCATCCCTCATGCACAATCCTCAGTTCATCTAGTGAACGAGGCACATGTGAACCTTCGTTCCTATCACCAAACACACACACCTTGGCCATTGTTTAATCGATACGTGAATAATCTACAGATGTATGTGTGTTCGTGTGTTGGCTCATTAAAATCCGGAATCGAATGACAGAAAAAGACGAGATCTTTTAATGTGGCACAACGCAGACAATGGGAGTGTTCATCTTCCCACAGACAAAACTGTAAGCTTGACCTGAGAACAAATTGTGTGAGCGTGTATTGTGTTTTAAGGAGCCCTCTTTTCCATCTTCCTGGTTTCGATGACATTCTGTAATTCATTATCTTTTTGGTTTCTTTCTTTCCATGTACCATAGACATCGCTCAATTGTAATTGTGGTGTACACGGTCTTCAGATCGCTCGGGTTGTATGGTAAGCGCTGATCCAGAGTTTTTTTTAATCGTATTGATCCTGAGTGGCTCATTATTTTACTTCGCCGCTTGTCACAAGGGTTTATCTGTTTTGTATATACTTATCAAGTGGTACTTGCAATTCTTTCCGACATACGCTTTCATGGTTAACACGGTTTAAGGCGCTGTCAAGGCCAGACTTTCGAACCATTGTTGAATTCAGTTCATGCAAAGTAAAACTTTTGAAAGTCATTTTTATCATCATTTTACCTACACATTTTTCAGATTCATTGCTATTGTTTTCAGCGAATAATAAACCGGTAAAGGGGGAATCCCTCAATGCGCATAATTTGGTCTGCTGACAAGTAAAATGTGAATCACTTAGGGAAGGTCATAGTAGGGTTCGTCATAACGGTATTTCACAACAAGACGCATTTCGCTTTTTTTTGTCAGTTCTACGTAGATCCCGTTTATCGTCTAGATGGAAAAGACTGCTTTAAAGGGTGCTATTGGAGACTGGTCGCTCTCATACGTTATTTTAATATGCATAGGGGAGGGATGTTATATAGACGAAAACCCATCACATCTGCTGTAGCTAAGATGTGGTTTTTACGGGATGGCAACTTCATACGTATACGGGGGTAAATGCTTCATTCGTTGTGTCGTTACACCCGAAAAGTTGTGAAGCAACAGTTCTTGTAATAGATTTCGTTTCACCGGTCATTAGCCACATGACACAACGATGTTTCCGAACGCTTACAGGTAAAAATCTTCTATGGTAGACGGTACACGTTATTCCACAGAAATAGTTGAATGGGTATTCACAATGTGGGACTCTAAAGGCAGGGATTTAGTCTCATTTCAAAACACAAGAGTCATATGAACAGCATATTGTCTTGCCGCATATAATTTTTCTCTCCACCGTCATACTCGTATATCAAGTTATTCTTATACACTTGTACTCAAGATACACATTTACTTACAAATGTCTCTCTGAGATGATTTCATGATAAAAATTTGCTTGGAAAGCTCAATCAATCGACGGCGAAATTTCATTTTTCAATATCCATTCTTCGCTCTGATTCATTGAGTCAGCATAATGCATTGGTTCTCCTAGAATGAAACCTAGTATTGTGTACAAATTGTCATTATCGTACACTTCAGACTTATCTGATTTCGGACTAAATGTCAAACAAAGCAAGTTACAACAATCATCCTGACAAAGAAATCAATCTATAATGGGCGGGATACTTTAGGTTTCCCAGGATAAAGCAGGTAAATTTGTTTGGGTGATATAAATTCCGAACCTTCGACTAGTCAAAGCCCGTCAGGCAGCAGAATAGTGTGTATAAATCGCATTGAATACCGAGGTATGGTTTATCGAATTATGCGCTCTTCGGACGAAGTTAAATGTTTAACGTACCCGATACACCCCGACACCCAGTCAACTCGGTTACCGCTGTCAGCACCAGGAAGGTACGGGTGTTGTTCTTGCACCACTTAGTTGGTTTGAAATCGATATTTGACCTACTCCCCTGGGGGAACTGCCAGTGGTTCACCATCTGGATTACAGCCCCGGGTGTTAGCTTCCGTCTTCTCACGATAGTGGAACGAGTCCACCACATAAAGGAATTGATTAACTTTCTCAATAGAGGTTGTTCGTGACGCTTGGTTTAACAGGAGCATTTCATGATTAGCAAGGAAAGGGCGACCATTCACTACCAAAGACGCTCAACTCCGACCATACTGAGGCCTTTGTGCCTGAAAATTGCACTGAGACGCTTTCTCTGGGGTTATCTTACACTGCACAAAATGTTTTTAACACTCCCATTTTCCTATAGTTCGTCTCAAACGGCTAAACTTAAGACCGTGGATTCGACGTGTGTATGTCCCATCACCCTATAGACTTCGTATAGATAATGAAAGTTGGTTGATTCATCAAAACTGGTTTCATCCGGGATGATGTGGTCTTGAAGTATGCGAAATACTCTCAACGTATCCGCTGACCGAATGACAAAAAAGTCATTCGGCGATCCAATACAACGGAATTTATTTCTCGAAACTGATGGCCATGTCTCCCGATGTCTCCCACCTCTGGCAATTATTACTTTTGAGCTCAAGTCCAAAAGTCGGGAGCTACCAGCACGAAACAGGCGGACAGTCATTCCGTGCCACCACCAGTCATGGGTTGTTCGCAACGTACCTTCTTCCACTCAGGACGAGGAACCGTCCATCGGACGCGGCTAGGTAAGCAGCGGATTGGCATCCGTCGGACACGATCAAGTCATCTAAGCCTGACGGGCAACATGATATCACCGATTGAGCGACGTTTTCCCAGCAGACTATCAGCTGTCGAACTGTTTCCTTGGGACTATGATGTTGCACCATACTCCGGTGTTCTCAAAACAAAGCGTTGATCGAAGACGGTCAGTCTGTCATAGTTTATAGAGTGAATTACCTGTCTGTTCGAGCTTCCATCATCCGGAGCGTAACCTGGGGTTCAATACCACCGCCAACTGAGACAAAAATCCCAAAATAAACAAACTTATCATCAATTTTGAGTTATTCTCCACTGGGGATATGCTCGAACATAAGTTCCTGTCAATCTTCAACTAATACTTAGTGTTCGAAAAGTACATTCCATAGGACTTACGTTGACCGCTAACCGATGCGGAGCTGTTCAAACTACGTGTCGAATAGGACAGTATCATCTGTGTAATGTAGGTCAAACAGTCTGTCACCTTGGAGAAGTTCGAATTCACAATCAGAAAGACCCGACTGAACTGAGTTCCAGACATCATCGATGATGAGATTAAAGAGAAATGGCGATTGCGGTTCGTTGCAGGGGTGATTTCAAATTTTTCACATACTCTGCGAACACGTTGTTCCCTACTAAACAGTTTTACAACGCTGCTCAATCGAAATCATCAGAGGTTTTAAGGATCTATAGGAAGAGAATAACAATCTTACAATCTAGATATGATGTTGTTTAAGCAGCGAACGGACAGTGACGACCCAGTCGACGCAATCGCAGCATGGATGAAATTAGGTTTGTTTTGCTGTTCCCCGATGGCTGAGAATAAGCGGAAAATAGGAGACGTCGTAAGCTCTTAAGCTCTGGGGTGGGATCTAAAACTGCTTTTCTTCAGTTTGGGGGGAGGGGGATTTCCTTGTGAACCAAAATACGCTAGATGTTACACTTGATTTGAATCCTAGTCGGTCTTTTTTGTATTGAATTCAAGTTATTTTCTCTTCATAACTTTTCTTACCGTTTTGATCGGCCTCATAAATGAACGTTTTCTCTCTGTCATTCCGAATGAGGTACCTCAAGCTACGTACGCTGTATGCATAATGTTTTCTCGTCTATCGCTCCCTCTCTCCATCTCCGTCACCGTTCAAGGTACCACTGGAAGAAAATGGCGTCGGAGAATAAGCGGGAGCTTTTAACTCAAGTCCTTACCAGTTGTGCACATAGTGATTGTGAAATTCTCGCTTTTGAAAGTATTCGCAACTTCGTTGCACATACTGTCCCGCCCTTTCTTGTGTTCATGACCTTATTTTCAGATGTTTGGTTGGATCGATATCCCCGATGCAATTAACATTCAACTACACTGGGATGGTTGTTTCTCTGTCGCACATGCTTGCGTAGAGAAAGGCTTGGTTATGCACCGTGAACAGCTGTCTGCTTAGATAACCCTTGTCCATTCTTTCTTGTTTTTACGTCTTTCGTCGCATACGTTCGTGCATCATCAAGACAGGGAAAGAAGCCTGATGAATTTCTGCCAGGTGATATGTTTGTATTTACATCACTTTTTTGGTAAGCATTTGATCACATTTTAGTAAAAGAATAATCAATAAAAACCATAAGCGAAAACGGAAAATTAGGCGGCGGCGTTGGTGGGATTCGAACACGTCCTCCGAGGATATAGGGTGGTGACTAAGACTTCTTAACGACCAACAGCCCCATAAACCAGATATCTTGCTCGCAGGATTGCTACGTGCAACTTACAAACTTACCATACTTCACAACGCAATTATTAGGCTTTCAATATAGAAAGCAAAGGGCCCGATCCGACGTAATGGAATAGAGCAGCTTCTCCTGGTCCTCGATTATTTTCATGCTTTGAAAATCTGGTTATTTCGTCCGGTACAGTACAATGAATAATAGCGGGCATTCGGATAGCGGATTCTTATGATCAAACGTCTGTTCGGTACGGTCAGTTTGAGCGTTCAAGTGTGTTTAGAAAATCTGAAAAGGCACTACTGAATCTCACCTCAACCGACACTACCGCCCCACGAGGTATCTTTGATGCGGTGACAACGAAAACTCCCGATTGTTTTAAATCTATTGTCTTCCGTCCGGATTATCTAGGTTTCAGTACCGTTAAAGAACGCTGCCCCAGCAATGGACCTGTAAACAGAACCCGTTGCGAACAACGCTGCATGCGGCGCCAGTTTGCGAAAGCTGTTCGTGCTTTTTTGATCCGGCTCTAGCTTTCGACCTGTAGGCTGGTATCCGACAAAGGAAATACTGGACAACGTTTCTGTTTTTTGACCGCCGAGAACAAACGAAGGCGGGTGGCTTAGCTAATCGAAAAACACGATTGCCTTATACCTCAAACTGAATTCGGTGTAAAGTCTTACCCTAAATTGGCATAATTCCGAAATGATTTATTCGAAAATGTTGATACAAGTTAAAATCACGTAAGTCTTATTTTCCTTTATGCTGTTAAAATTTCAATGCTACTCGTTCACAAACGTACTCTTGAGACCATGGTACCAAGTACTTTATAGTTGCGTAAGTCCAACGAGTTGTGCTGCCATTTTACCTGGCTATTTATTCCGAATCATATGTGTTTTAATTATGATGAATGTAGTCTGGAGAGTAAAGATCAAATTGCGGTGAAGTATTCAGTGTGTAAGTGTTTTTCCTGAGGTAGCCTTCTCTGGTCCATGTTACTCTCGCCACCTTTTGATAACACGATTTTCTGTTCTGTTGGTACATCATGGTTTTTATCTAACCGATTTGAATTGCCGGACCTTGTTTTTGTTGCTATTGTAGTTGTAAATTTGTTTTCTTTTTCTTTGTCACCAAATCTCCTTCACTCAGCACCTCCATAACTCTCATTCGTGCTCCACCATCTCCCGAGACCTTGAGACGTTCTACTTTGTCCACGGTTCAGAAGCAGTTGCAGAATCTGACCTCCATATTCTTCCCTGGCAAACGTCGTTCGGATTCATCGAGGACATCCGCCGACCCCGAATCAGGCGATGCGCGCGTTAATGTGGCCAGCAAGTCTGTCAACGAAGCATCGGTTCCCGAGGCTGTTGATTCGAAGGATAGATCCAAATCAGTAGACATACCTCGTTCAGTTAAATCCGATCCGGTTGTCGAAACAAATGCGAATGAGGAGATCTCTCGTACTCAATTGATGTCTCTTCGATTGACAGACGCTTCGGCAACTCGGGCCATTGTCTGTTCCCAGGTCATCGCACGAGCTCAACCGTTCCTAAACAATGATCTGGTTTGTCGAGCATTGGATCGGGCAACCCTGCAACTAGTGATCGGGTCTGAGCCTTTTCGCGAACCATTACCCAGTCCGACAGAGGCCGCTTGTGACGAGACCCAATTTAGTGTACTCTATTTGGACGCAAAATCAGGTACGACCGTGTCCATGTGGAGTGAGATTTAGGGTTCGTTTGTCCAACTATATTCGTTCCTGTTTTAGTAAAACCTGGGGAACGGAACTGGGATATTCCTCCACCCCCATGTCGAATCATAATCACTTCATCTTTCAATTGTAGGATTTACGTTGCTCTTGTCCACGATCCGTCTTTCTGATAGAGATATACCTTTGGTTTGTTATCCAAAGTCTGACGAATTGACAATGACTGTGAAACAAATCGTTCATCTACTTACCCAGTAACTAAAGATTAAGTTAATGATTTGTTTCACGGTCGATGTCAATTCGTACATGCTTAACATAACCCTATCTGTCTGCTTATATAAGACGAGTAATTGTGATTTCACCCCACTCGATGGTGCATCTTCCGTGTGGTAACCTTATCTGGTCTTACAACCCGAGCTCGCTGCAATTGCGTTCGATTATCCTCACCTCATGCTTAATTTTCTCGACTGTACACTCATTTATGTGTGTGATAGACAACATATCGAAAACGAAAAATGATACAATGTAGTAAAATATTCTCATCGACATAGAAGAACAAAGTGGAAATGTGGAGTTAACATATACAGTCCGAACATTCCAGTACATTACTAAGTGACTTATGCAGATGTTGAATGAATGTTTGTGCGTGCAAAATGTTGGATTGACAACAAGCCAAGTCACAAGAAGTGAATAGGGAAAAACGGTTAAAACGTGCTAACTGGATACGATAAAATGGTTAATGAAGAACGAATAAAGTAGTTGTGGAAGTATAAACAGGCTGAAATTGCAGTGAATGATTGTTTAGCTGTTGATCGGTTTCAGAAGTTACTCACATCTACATCCACCGGCTGTGAACTGTTTTGACTGTTTTTGTTCCAGTAACTTTTCCATTGATTGTATTAACCTGTCGCTCAAAATGACACCGTAATTGGTCACGATCAGTTTCGTCATTGGTGAATTAATCAACACTAGTTGTGATAACTCTTATTTGCACCGTTATCCCAGTCCGTCGATCTTATCCCCACTTTGACCCTGCTAACTCATTCACTGTTCAGTTGTAACAGGTAGCCAGGTTCGGGATGTTTTCAACCGAGTCTGTGCCAAGATGAGTAAAGTCAGATGCTCACAGCAAGCTTGCAAAAATCATCTTTTTACTGTATTGTGTGTAAACAAAGTGAAGACGTCAGATCAGTTGTCCCAGGGTAGGTACTTGGCTTGTATGCTTGTGTTCTACCTGTGAGACCCCCGTGCTGCCGCACCTTATCAGTTAAGAGATCGGCAGAAACTTGGCTTCACTAGCTGTATGCACGGTATGAACAGAGCCCCGGTACGGGTGGCAGAACAAAGTGAGGTTGCCTTGGTTGTTGACTAGTCGTATGAATCAAGGCCACTCGCAGCCAAAATACGGCATTAACAGTTCGTAACAACACCAGTAGCAATAAGGTCTACCCTCGGACGCATAGGTAAAACGGTCATACATAAACAAAATTCAAATTATCAAAGGGTGTGCTGCGGGATAGATGCGGCTTTCAGTACATTTCGGCTTTGGGATAAATCAATAAAAATCGACGAATTATGGTAAATACATGCAAGTCGGAGCAGGCATAGAGGAAACTGAGCCACGAAGCAGTAGCGTACAAGCAGAGCGCAGTCGGGCGCTTAATTTATGAATTTGAGCGACGTGTGTGGTGCAGTCATGATGTGTGAAAGGCTGGTACTGTTGCAGTAGTTTAGTCAATGTCGCCGACGTGCCTTGGACCCTTTGGGAAGAGGTTCGAACTCCATGACCACCACCGTCTTATGTGGTTCGCCACTCCGAGTCCCCGGGGCTTAGATTACCGATTCCAATCACTGAACAGGTCCTCGTGACTATGGTGTCCACTCCGTCTGCTGTTCATCATACTAAGGTGTGTAACAAAAAGGGGTTGTTTTCGGATCTGCTGTTCGATCCTCAACAGTGGCTGGTTTTTATGCGTAGAACAACCATTTTCATTTCAATGGAGATGTGAAAATTTACGAATACACAGACCATGATTGCGGCTACAACGGTTTCCCTCAGATCTCCCTTTTAATGAATTTCAACGTTTATGCACTGACTACTTATAAGTAGCTTAATAAATCTCACGGTCACAATCGTAATAATTTTTAAGAGAAAACTAATGCCATTTACCAAGAATATCTTTATCTTGTATGCGCCATAATGTATCTCGGTCATTAGGAAACGCTTAGGTGGCATAGAAAAAAAACAAAATCTGCTAAGATTGGTTTAATTCTTTGCTCAATCTTAATTCAAAAGGCTTCCACATTGTTCCCGTGGACTCCGGTTGCAGGACGAAGTCATATGAGTGGCTAACTGCTAGATTACCACATTACACCATAATACTGCAGTGGCACACTTTTCCTCATGCGAGAACCGGCAAAGATATTGTTAAGATTCCCAGTTAACACAAAAGTGGCGATATATCAAATTTCCAAAATAGGTATACACCTAACCGAAACATCTTATACATTTTAATCCCCAAACCAAATTGTGAGAAACATCCGGTCATGGAGATGCAACGTTGATCATTTCTCTTCTAATTTTGTCGTGTCCCCCCCCCNCCCCCCCCCCCCCTAATAACCTTTTGACATGATTTGTGATGTGTTTGTCTGTAGATGGATCACTACAAACGAGCTTATTCGCTACTGTGTTCTTACAGTGTGTAATGACGTTCGGATAATTTTTATCCACTTCTCTATGATTTTCCATTGAAGACAACCTATCTTCAGATATATATATATATATATATATATATATATATNAAGAAAGAAAGGAGGCATAAGTGAAGTGAATGTGATAATGCTTTTACCGTCTCTCCGTGAGCCTGTGTTTGTACGTCAGTCCACCAATCGTCACGGGTTTTGCGAGTGTGACGTAATGTTTATCTATCTCAACGTGTCTGTTGAACGAATTGACCGAGTGTAAAGCTTCGAGGATTGATCGTTTCCCGTTCTTCTTACCTCGCGCCATCACTTTTGCGTTATCGATCGCGATCTCGTGACCTGTCCGTGCGCAGTGGTTCCAGATTCGTGACCTCTGGTCAGCACGTCGGAGTGCAAGCTTGTGTTCTTGTAGGCTAGTCTGTAGTTGCTGCTGTCTCACCTATGCAGTATTGGTTGCAACCCAGGCACGGGATTGCATAGGTTACTCCTGATTGTTCGAGCTGTTTGACTCGATCCTTGCCGTTGGAAAGAAACGACTCACGNCTGCTGGTTTATGGGCGATCTTGATTCCCTACGGTCGAAGTATTCGTTCGGTGGCTTCTGATTTGCCGCTTATGTAATGTAGCGTTATCCGAATTCCTTCTTTTGTATGTATTGTTTGCTTAATACCTTTGAGGCACGCGTTGATAAAACTCCTGGGATATGCGTTTGATAGGAACGGTTGAAAGAGTCGACCTCTTTCTCTTGTCCTTAGCTCCGGCGTGCTGCAGTGTGTTTTCTCGGCGGAATAGAGTTCGCACACAACCTGTTAGGTGGCACAAAGGGTGGTTGCTGTTGTAATTGAGGATGCGATCTATCATGATCAGTTTTCGGTAGACCGTGGTTTCTATTCTTCCATCAGGTTGCCTCCTGAGAAGGATGTCGAGGAAGGAGAGTTGTCCATCTTTTCCTTCCTCTCGTGTGAAGTTGATACCTGGCACCTGCTCGTTGATCATTTGGTGGAACTGATCTACTTTAGAGGCGTAATGTATGACAAATGTGTCGTCCATATACCGTATCTACATACGAGGTTGTAGAATTCTAAAGGCTTTGGCTTCGAAGTGTTTCATAACCACATCCGCAAGGAGGCCTGAGAGTGGTGAATCCTTTGGAGTTCCTCGTATCTGCTGACACACCTTCCCTTCGAATTGGGAGTAGGTTTCCGTGCAGATTCCTACGAGTTCCACTTTTGTCGACGGTTAGTCTCGTTCGTAATTGCTTCTACGTGTCACCTCCACCGTTGAAACATTGAAATTCCCTCGACGGTACTATCCAAGTAAATAAATTTCACAACAACGAGCATTTAGGCCGCAAGAAATATGGAAGCCCAACTGTAGGGAATCCGCAAGTAACACCATTCATAAGTGACCTACTGCGAATGAGAAAGAAGCATCTAATAAAGATTGGCAAATAACAGTTAAGTGAGAGTGATGGAGTATTGCATTGTATTATAGATGACTTGTGCAGGTGACTGTGCCTACATTTCAATCAAAAAATGTGTTCACCGTTACAATGGGATAAAAAATGAAATGAAAATTCATATACCACAATGATAAAACTTAAATAGGCGATCATCTGTGTAAGTTTAAAATTAGTTCGTTACGGATCTTCACCGTGTCAGTGAGAATGCGAGCTAGATAGGGAACCTTTTAGTTGCGATAAATGTTTATGCGGGAGGACCAGCAGCGAAAATTGGATCGGGTTAAAGCGTGGGAGCTACAAGTAGATAAATCGGATGACTGGGGTCTTTGAGTATCTTATGAGCGAAATTTTCACATGAATTGATATGCAAATTACACAATTTTGTGATCAGAGTGTTTAGAGGAATAAGAGAAACACGGCTGATAATTACTAAACCGCGACGTAGAGTAGTGAAGTCCTTTCTAAGTAGACCAGGAAAAATGACGGGGAACAATAAAGTATGAGAGGAAAAATGCATTGATAAACAAGGGAACATACAGTTTCATGCCTCACTCGAAATTGTCCTTGCTTGTGTAATTGAAAAGATAAGCGACACAGTCTACCAACACAAGCAAGCACATGCGAGGACCACCGTAGATTGTTATCTATGGTGACTCCTAGGTATTTCGTGGTATGTGTTCCGGTGATGGGTAAGGAATTGATCACTGAGGGTTCCAGGGGGTATTCGGGTCGGGAGAGACTAAAAATGCATTCAGAGCATTTCGAACTATTAAGCCGGAGACCGGATTGGTTCGAAAATGATTGCATTTGCAACAAATTGTCGGAAAATGATCCTATGTCCGATTGGTTTGAGATGGCTTGACATATGACCACATCATCAGCATACCATAAGATCTTGGCTGGTGGGATTGAGGGTAAGTCACTGATGAAAGTCGAAAATAGGTAGGGGGAGAGCACAACACCCTGAAGAACCCTGAAGAATTATTCACTAACGGTTTTGAAATAGTGCCATTTGCTTTCGTTCTTTGAGTCCTTCCTGTGAAATAATCTTTCAACCATGACAACAAGTTGATGGGGCAACCGAATGATTCTAACATTTTTTAGAAGAGATCATGGAACGAAATCAAAAGCCGAGGAATAGTCAAGGAAAACACGAACCGATTTTGAGAATTTCTAAAGATTTGCAAATAAAGTGCATCATTAAAGAGACGGCATCCGAAGTGCATTTATTAGGCTTGTACGCAAACTGGCGAGGGTCATTGGGAACAATAATACCAGATTGCAAGCGGGTGAGAATAGCGCGCTGTGCAAGTTTGAGTCCAGAGGAGGTGATGGTGATAGAACGAAAGCGTTTAGACAGAATGTTAGATGCAGAGGATTTAGGAATGGGAACAATGATGAACGGTCTCCAGGATTCCGGAATCGAACATGTGTAAATTGATTGGTTAATAAGAGACGTAGACATCTATGTGACTAAGCCAAGGCCATATTTGAGCAATGAGGAAGATAAACCATCGGGGCCAACTGCATTCGTGGTTTTCGTAGTTTTAAGATGGTAGACCTCATGGGTGACCGGGTCTATGGTAGATAGGTCATCTGTGGGGTATGGAGATAGGAGATCATTCGAAGGATAAATGGATGCAGCATTGAGGCTGTCCACATCAATAATTTTGTTCGTTGTGCGTTTTTTCTGTCCACAAAGCAATCTGATCCCTTGCCATAGCCGCCTTCCATCTCCAGCTCCCAGAACTTGCTTTGCGAATGAAGCATTCAATCTTTTATCTCTGCCCTGATTTGCGGTGTTAGTTGTTTGATAGTGGCTGTTTGATGTATCTTGAACGCTAGTTCTTTTTGTCTCTAAAAGCTTTTAGCCGCGGAGATCATATTCTGCCAGTGTGAACAAAAGTTATCTCCATAGGACAGCATAGATTGAAAATCACGTTAGCTGTTTCTGTGAAATGTTCAACAGAAAAGGGAGACTGTTGAACGGAAAACCATTAGGAGATAATAACAAGAGATTTTCTCAGATGGAGTCTGTCCACTGAAAGGTCCCGAATTTTTATGTTCATTTCTTTTGTTTGAACAAAAGCGGGGTACGTTTGGTCTAAGACATAGGAGACAGTGGTCACTAGACGAAATCGGCCCCTTCAGTTTGAGAGAGAAGATATTAGGGTGGACGTTAAAGAGAGGGCTGACAGATCGAAAGAAAATAAAGGTTGGTTTGATCCGCGATTAAAATCACCGACAATGAAAATAATTTATCGTTCACCAAGGGAGCAATGAAAGGAATATGTGCATCGTAGAAAGAACTAATTTCAGTTTGTGAGCAAGAAGGGACAATGTATAAATTTGTAATAATTGTGCTCCGATAAGGGGAAAACCTAGGTTGACATGAAACAGCAAGGAGGTCAATACCATAAGAGCAGAAAATAAACGTTTCGAACTTGCCGCACCAACTGGAGTTAATGTGGGTTATTACACCGCCTCCGGACTTCTTTTTGCTTCTTTCTCTCTCTTGTCGAAAACTTGCGAAATTAGGTATGTTGATCAGCGAATCGTCTATGTTTTCGTTGAACCACGATTCCTGTATGCATAGCACCCACGTGTTGGTGTGCATGCGATGAGTTAGTAGATCCGTGAGTTCAGCCAGTTTCACTAAACAGTGAGCGAATGTTGGAACTGATTAATGACGGAACCGTCATCTTCACGGAAGGAATGTTTGCAAGCGCAGTTTGCCACCCGGCACGCTTTCGTTTCTTGCTCCGTGCAGAAAATGCAGTACGGGCAAAATCATGTGAGTTGGATAACATCGAAGAATAATAAATATCCTTTAGACGTAGTAACAATACCCTGGGATACGAACGTCGAGAGAACGTGGCAGAAACCAAGTAATAAATTCCAGTGCAACAGTAAACACAAACGTAGCGCAGCCAATCGATTGATGATGGAGGATTTTATTTGAGGGTGCGATGAATTGCGTGCGTATTCTGATAACTTTCTACCTATGAGGTCCGATGCTCGGTTGATTGGATGGATTCTCTACCGATGAAAGCGAACCAGGTCGAAACACCTGTGCAGTGCCTCCTAGCTTTTCAGTTCACGTTTCATTTGCTCTGTAGACGCAGAAATTCACCAAGTAATTGACAATCCTAACTTTGACTTCCACCGCCGATGGGAATTATCCGAATGACAGCAACTGTAGAGTTCTTCCCAGGTTTTTGCTCATTTTTCATTTGCTCTGTACAAATCGGGTTTACTCACATGTGTGAATTAAGTTCTCCACCGCTCCTTTCAGACTCGGCATCGTTTTCAATCATGAAGAACAGTAACTCGTTCATCAGTGGAAGTGTTTTTTGCTGCCCTATTTATACTCTGGTTGATTCTACTCTCTTGTCATAAAATGATTGGTGCATATGAGTGAATTTTACATGGTGTCTAAAATACGACGAAATTTCCAAGGTGTTTTCAGGATTTCGTTGATTACAATGTCATTTTATTCAGTGATTTTTGACCGATAGCATCATTGATTTATTAAACATGTTCGTGTGACGAAGTGGTTTAGTCGCT